TCTCAGTCCCATCACTCCCGCATACTAAGGAGCTTGAGAATATCTTTACAGCCCCAGGCAAGGTCATCAAATTCCTTATGTCAGTGACCACAGGAGTAAAACAATGTTCAGGACAGCAAGACTTCCAACTTCAATCCAAATTAATAAATAATCTGGTAGCTTATACTTACCATATTGGCACACTATCTCTCCCTAATTCTCTAGTTAACTCCCATACCCACAGATGTTGGGAATTGAGCCCAGGGCCTTAAGGTGTGTGAGATGAGTGTTCTACTGTACACCCCAGCCGCTGTTTACTTTGGAGTCCTCAAAAAAAACAACAACCTCCAGCTCACTAAAGATAATTACTATGTCTGTTCTGTTTCTTTCTCTCTCCAGTACCAGAAACCTACCAGGAAGCTTTTGTTATGTGTAGAACAAATGAGTGATTAATGGACTTTACATTCTAAAAGCATTTTTGAGCCCAGTGCCAGTGGCTTGGCTCATACCTGTAATCCTAGCTTCTCAGAAGGCTGAGATCTGAAGATCATGGTTTGAAGCCAAACAGTGCTGAGAAGTCCCCATGAGACTCATCTCCCATTAACCACCAGAAAACCAGAAGTGGTGCCCTGGCTCAAAGAGTGCTAGCCCTGAGCAAAAGAGCTCAGGGACAGTGCCCAGGTCTTAAGTTCAAGCCCCATGACAGAAAGAACAAAAGAGGAGGGGGGGCACTGGGAAGGTGGCTCAGTGGTAGAGTGCTTGCCTTGCATGCATGAGGCCCTGTGTTCAATTCCTCAGCACCACATAAGCAGAAAAAGCTGGAAGTAGCGCTCTGGCTCAAGTGGTAGAGTGCTAGCCTTGAGCTGAGGAGTTGAGGGGCAGTGCCCAGGCCTAGAGTTCAGGCCCCACGACCTGGAGAGAGGTGGGGGGCAGGGGGAGAAGAAAGAGAGAGAAAAGAAAGAAAGCATTTTCAACACAGAAAATTTAGTCCCTTAACTAGAAGCTAAATTCACAAAAATAAAAGAGCCAAGTTTTGCAGAAAAGGAAATTAGGTTTGTGAATTTACCAGGCAAAGGAGTGCAATGGGCTACTATCTCAAAAGCTGCAATCCTTATCCCAAAATCAGGTTAGAATTTTAAAGAAAAGGGAGTGGTGCTGTAGTTCAAGCAGTAGAGCATCTCCTTGAGCTGAAGAACACAGGGACAGTGCCCAAGCCCAGAGTTCAAGCCCCACGACCAACAAAAAAAAAGAATTTTAAAGAAAAATCCCTGCTTCTTTCCAAGCTGTTGACAGTACATGGGCTAGACTTCTATTTATACTTGCTGAGAGGCTTGAATTTGGACTGCTGATTTCCTAATGCACTGCTGTTAGTCTCTGGAAGTATATGTCTTGAACATTCCTTCACTCAGGTCGTCACTGAGATAAGAAGCATGGTGACCTTGCCTGATGCTGAAAAAAAGATGGGCTTTAGTTCTCCTGGTTAGGTGGGGGGAGACAAAAAAAATCTTTAAACTTTCATGATTGAACAAGGAGTGCCTGTGGCTTATGTTTGTATTCTTAGCTACTCAGGAGGCTGAGGTCTGAGGATCATTGTTCAAAGCTAGCTTGCCTAGACAAATCTGAGAGTCTTATCACCAATTAACAATTAACAACCAGGGAGATGAAGGGTAAACAAAGGAGGAGGCTGCAATGCTTGGTAGGAAATGTGTGCATTATCCTGCCCATGTAGTTATAACCCCTCTGTACAGTTCTCAAATAAAATAAAATTTAAAAAAAAAAAACAACAACCAATTATCAACACTGAAGTATGGCTCAAGTGGGTAGAATTCCAGGCTTGAGGGGGGCGGGGTGGGGAAATGGTAGAGGAGAGTACAAAGTCCTGAGTTCAAGCGTTAGCATTGGCACAAACAAATAAATAATATTTCTTCAATGGATCAAGAAAATCACACACACACACACACACACACACACACACAATGGAATTTTACTCCTCCATCACAAAGAATAGTAATATGTCATTTGCAGGAAAATGAATGGACCTGAAAAGAAACATTATGTTAAGTGAAATAAATCAAGTTCAAAGAGTCAAAGAGCATCATGTTTTCCCTCATATGTGGAAGTTAGAGCTAAATTATAAACATATACAAAAGCTTATAGAAGATCATATGCATATAGACATAAACATATTGTCTAAAGTATGGTATACACAGAAGAGGTTTGCAATTGTTTAACTCCTAACAATTTAGAGTTTAACCAAATGAATACCAGGAAGCTAAACTATGTGTTGACAGGAACAGGGGATGTCAAAGGGTGGGAGAGCAGATGAAGAGAGGAAAGAGGGCCATATTACAGTCGTAATATACAATGTAGGTATGTAAAAATGGAAGTTGGTAACTTGAGGGGATGGTTGTGGTCGGGAGAGATGGGAGATAGCAATGCAAGAGGTGACATTGATCAAGATGCATTATACTCGTAAATTGATATGTTGAATTGAAACTCTTGTACAACTATTTAAATATAATAAAGTTTAAATTTTATAATTGAACCGTTATTGGAAGTGAGTTAGGTATTGGGTTTAAAGTATAGTTCTAAGCGTATTTAGGCATTTGCATTGATACTTTCTCCATTCATGTGTTACCAACTTCAAAATCACTATTTTTGTAGGCCATGCAGCTGAGCAATAAATTATTAGTTTCCCACCAGCTTTACTGTAGATAACATCTCTGACTGTGAATTCTAATAACAGTTGCCTAGTTATTTGTTTTGCAGGGATCTGAAGGGCACTTTTATTGAAAACATTGACTGTTCACTTGGATCTGCAGGTGTCTGATGGGTGACTGGCACAGAATGAAAAGACATTGTGTCTGTCTTCCACTTTGCTGCCCTAAACTTTGGGTCAAATTCTATTCAGCCTAGCATGCAGCCATGTTCATTACCCATTGGAACTGATCTACCTTCATGCTATTTCAGCAACAGCCTCAAGCAGCAGCTTAAGCACCTTGAGTCCTGTGAACCCCATCCGTATGTTATTAAAACACCTGATTCCTTCAGCTTCTACCATACCCTCAAACTCCTTAGCACCTGAAGTCATTCAAGCAAGACGATGACAGCCTGTCAACCTACCCCAGCAAATTAATAAGGGGCAGCTTCTCCCTGTGGTTCAGAAGCAGCCTGGTCTGTCACTGCTCCTTTCCACTCCCAAGCTGAAAAACCTTGCCTGTATTCCCTGAATACTTAGCTCGATTTCATTTGTATTGTTTCTATGCAAGAAGACCCAAGTCTTAGTAACAATATAATTCTCACAAGAAACCCTTGAAGTAGATAGGACCATCTCAACTCTGAGTAAACTGAGTAAGGAATAGGGAACACCTTAGCAGTTGAAACTCAGCAACAAAAGCATCAAACATCAGCCTCCAGCACATTTAGTTTTTTTGCTGTTGTTGTTTTGTTTTGTTGCTGGTTGTGGGGCTTGAACTCTGGGCCTGGGCACTGTCCCTCAGCTCTTCAGCTCAAGGCTAGCGCTCTACCACTTGAGCCACAGCGCCACTTCCAGCTTTTTTTTGCTTATGTGGTGCTGATGAATTTTCATGCATGCAAGGCAAGCACCACTGAGCCACCTTCCCAGCCCCTCCAGCCCCTTTAGTTTTGAAGATGACTGACTTAGGATCTGTGTACCAAGGATCTCATATTGTGATGCAATGCTCCTATTGCTGTCCTTCAAAGGAAAATGGTGTGTAAAGCACTGGGCTGATTCAGAAAATCTGGATTCCAATTCTAGTTCTAACTCATTTGGCAAATATTTTTGAATGTGTGTGTTTTAGTTTCCTTGGCTAAAAATGTTCTATTCAGCAGTACAATTCAAGCAACTTTTCAAATCGGGGAATCTTGAACCTCTGATAATCTGTTACATGGTTTTATAAGGGCCTCTCCATGCCTACTCTAACCTAACACAACTCATCTTCCATATAGAAACTAGTTCAGAAGATGAATGAAATCTGTGTGTGTGTGTGTGTGTGTGTATGTGTGTGTGTATAGAAACTAGTTCAGAGGATGAATGAAATCTGTGTGTGTGTGTGTATATATATGTGTGTGTGTATGTGTACCAGTCTTGGGACTTAAAATCAGGGTCTGAGCACCATCACTGAGCCAGGGTAGTTCTCTGCCACTTGATACTTCTACTTCTGGCTTTTATTTGGTTAATTGGAGATCAGAGTCTCGCAGTTTCCTGAATCAGCTGGCTTTGAATCCTAAACCTCAGATCTCAGTCTCTTGAGTAGCTAAGTTATTTATTTATTTATTTATTTAGTGCTAGTCCCGGGGCTTGAATTCAGGGCCTGGGTGCTGTCTCTGAGCTTCGGGTCTCAAGGCTAGCTAGCACTCTACCACGTGAGCCACAACTCCGCTTCAAGCTTTTTTGGCAGTTAATTGGAGATAAATGGACTTTCTTGCCCGGGCTGGTTTCGTCGAACCGTGATCCTCGGATCTTAGGCTCCTGAGTAGCTAGGATAACAGATGTGAGCCATCAGCACCTGGCAGGAGTCAGCTTTTTAAGCGCCCATTAAGCAAGGAAATTAATTTTCTAGTGTGACCGCCAGAAGCCAGACATGACTTTCAGACAGCATTGGTTCCAAACTACATTGTAAGATCCGTAGATAGCAGACATAAGCCATGTCTGTCTCTTGCTACGGCAGAGTACTTGGCTGCAATCAAGCATCAATACCACTGCACGCGCTGTGATTGCCACCACCCTCACAGAGCCTGCAGTCCTCAGACCTCGCCCCATAGACCTCGGGCCTCACCTACTGAACTCCCTGGTCCCGCCCACCGACAAGTATCTAGCTCCGCCCTTGTTGCCATGGTGATCTTCCGCCCTTCAACCGCATCCGGAAGTCTCTGAGCCGGTGGGCGGGACCCGGGGGGGGGGGAAAAAGGCTATTGTTGCTATGGTGATGGCCTACCGGAACTCTTTCCTCCATCAGTCCCCTCCCCTCCCTCCGCCCCTCCCCCCGACCGCTGGGATTCGTCAGACGCCCGCCAGTCCCGCGTGTCCCTCGTTGCTGTGGTGACTGCTCAGCGGGCGCCGCGGAACTTGAGCCCGGGAGCTCCGAACCTCAGCAGCCACCGTGGGTGAGTCGTTTTTGCTCGCGGTCCGAGTCTCCGCCTCTCACCCCATGCTCACAAGTTTCAGAGGTTCGGACCGCGAGGATGTGAATGAGGCCTATGGCCCAGGGCCTGCTCCCTTCTTTGAGGATCTACGCCCCGAGCTGTTCTCCCAGAGCAGGTTCAAATGGAGGACAAACTGACCTTGGTCAGGGCCGCCCTAAGGCAGGTATAGCAAGGGAGCTGCACGGGGAAAAGTGATGATGAATTAACTTGAGCTGGAACCTGTGTGGGATGAGACTTTCTGAAAAAAGGCCTGAAGCCTAAAGTCCCCAGACAACTCAGAGCCTTCATCCTTACTGGTTCTGAGCCAGGGACCCCCTGCCCCACCCCTTTTCCACTACCTGAGCTGTGATCCACAGATGGGAGTTTACCTCGTGGGAGGTAAGTTCAGAGAGGTTCAGACACCTGTCAGGAAAAGACCGAGTTTAATGACTCCCATACCATACTGACCACAGATTGAGAGAGATGTTCTGACTTCCTGTGTCCACATGGCCTCTGGAATCTGGATAGCCTCCAGATTCCTCTCTCCTGACATAGAGGGAAGCCTAAAATCTGGTTCTAAAACTAATGAAATACGTCTTTACAGCTTTCCAATTCTTGTGGAACAAAAATAACAACCAAGTTGATAGAATTTAATTGATTTTATTCGTGATTCTATAATCAAGCAAACTCCTATGAAATAAAGTGTTCTGATGAGTAGAGAATAGTTTGTTTTGATTGTGCCAGTAACTAGAGTTTGAACTTGGCCTCACACTTGCTCCACCACTTGAACCATACCCTGAGCTTTTTCTAGTTCTGTTTTGTTTTGACATGAAATCTCATGGACTTTCCTACTCAGGCTGGCTTCAAACTGTGAGACTTTGGATCTCAGCATACTGAGTAGTTAGGAGTCACTGGTACCCAGTTCACAGACTCTCACTCTATACCCCAGGCTGGCCTCAAACTCCCCATCCTCCTTCCTCAGCCTTCTAAGTGCTGGTTGAACCACTGCACTTGGCCAAGATATTGGTTTTGTAGATAGATGGGTGAAAGCAGAAATTAAGCAAAAAGCAAATAGATGTTTAAAGATTACTTTCTTTATAAAACAGGGGACACTTTTTCTTTTAATTCATGCTGGATCAGATAGACTGGGCTCCCATAATTGTTGTGAATCTCTTGGGTTTGTTTTATTTATTTATTTACTTAGGTTCGTCATGGGGCTTTAACTCTGGGCTTGGGCACTGTCCCTGGGGTTGCTGTCCCTGCGCTCTTCAGCTCAAGACGAGCGCTCCACTGCTTGAGCCACAGCGCCACTTCCCGTTTTCTATTGGTTTTATTGGACATAAGAGTCTCATGGACTTTCCTGCCCGGGCTGGCTTTGAACCGTGATCCTCAGATCTCAGCCTCCTGAGTAGCTAGGATTACAGGCGTGAGCCACTGACGCCTGGCCTTTGTTTTTATTTTTTTAACTGGTCAGGTTTAAAGTTCAGTTTGGTCATGTAGTACCTAGCGTGCATGCCTTCCTTCTGGGTTGATCTAGTCTGCTGGTCACTAGTGCAGAAGGCTAGTCCAAAAGGATGACCTCTATAACTTTTATAGAACACTTTTTTCCTCTGGTTAGTTCCACAGATCTCTTAGAAGAATGAAGTCCTCTCTGATGCCTCTGGGTCCTCCTGTGAGCCGAGACCGTGTTATCACCAACTTTCCTAAGGTAGTCTCATAAGACCAACCTTTTTAGTCTTCACTGCTCTTGTGACCATGGGCCTTATCGAGCTTTCCCAGTTTACACTCAGGCAGATGAATTCAAGAAATCTGTCTTTTTGAAAAACTGAAAGACTGCACATTGACTTCCTCCAAAGAAAGCTAGTGGTGATAGAGGCAGCAGAAAAATGGTTATAAGTCAGTTAGACAGTACTAGTTGTGATTCCTGATTCATCCATCACTAAACTGTTTGACCATGGGAAATTACTCAATCTCTCAGAGCTGCTGTTACTTACATGAAGATAATGCCGCTTCCATTGGATACCTTGCTTATGGTAAACAGGAACTTCTTGTGGGTGTTCCTTGCTGTTCTCAGTGTAGGACTCCAGAGGCTAGAAAGTGGCTCAGTGATAAAGCACTTGCCTTGCAAACACAGATCCTGGGTTCTATCTCCAGTGTGCACATGTACACATGTATACACACACACACACACACACACACACACACACACACACACACACACACACACACACACACACACACAGGAAAACAATGAAACTGTGCAATATGGTTGAGCGAACCTGTAATTCCAACACTCAGGAGACTGAGGAAGAGGGGTCTCTACTTTAAAACCTTATCTCAAACAACAAAAGTCAGCATTCCCAGTTTCTTGTCATCAAATCCAGAGCTTTCTCATTTGCAATTCTGTCTTCAGCTTCTGTTGAAATCTCACATCTGTATTACAATCTACTATTAGTTGTAGCAGTCCATCTTCTGTGGTTACCTTGGGACAGCCAATGGCCTTCTAAATCTTTGGCTTCTATGCCTAGGCTAGTAATCAGGAAAGAAGTGGCTGAAGCTCTGGATATTGTGTCTGAAGCAATTTCTTCTTCCCCTATCTCCCTGTTCCTTCACACACTGGAAGCCTCAGACATTGGATGGTTCCTCTGATTTTCCATTTTGAAGTTGGGTTGTTTTTCCTCTCTGGGTCTTGCCAATGGAAACCAGGGACAATGGAGATAGACATTTCATCAGTAGAAAGGAAGGGAAGTATGATTGGCAGAGAATAGTCTAGGTTGCATGGGATGAAGAACCCTGTTTATAGAACAGGACAGCAAGGATCAGAGAGGTAGAGAAAGTTGCTTGACATCACATAGTCCAACATGGTGGAGCTTGGATTTGAACTGGCTGCCTCTGGCTCCAGAGCTCCCAACTCCAGTGAGGCAGCTTGAGACATAAATCCTATTTTCAGAGAAGGGCAGATTTCCCCATCCCACCCAGAGGTCACCAGGGACTGCAGCTAACTCCCTTCTGTATCCCAGAGCCACACCATTTCAGTAAAATGCACACGTGTGTGTGTGTGTGTGTGTGTGTGTGTGTGTGTGTGTGTGTGTGTGTGTGTGTGTGTGTGTGTTGGTACTAGGTCTTGAACTCCAAGCCTGGGTGCTGATTCTGGCACTCTACCACATTAGCCACACCTCCACTTCTGTCTTTTTGCCCAGACTTTCCTGCCCAAGCTAGATTTGTCTGCCAGGCTGGCTTCAAATTCAGATTCTCAAATCTCAGCTTCCTAAGTAGCTAGGATTACCGATGTGAGCCACTGATGCCCAGCTTGCTGAGGACTTCTTAGATTGGACTGGATCCACATAATGCTTCCCAGGATAAGTCCTTCCATTTTCCTGTCTTTGAAATCAGCTCACATTTCCTACCCTTTAGTCTACAATATGACAGAGAATGGAAAAAGCTAATTAGGCTACTTGGCCTCAAGGCCTAGGAAGGGAAGGAGGAGAGAAGACTGTGAAGTTGGTCATCCCTTAACGCTTGGCTCAGTTAACAAACTGCACTTCTTCAGGGCATTATGTTTGTCTGTCTGTTTCTTTGTAGTGGTACACACCTGATGCCTGCCTGCAGCTCAAGGAGCACTTCCATGGGCAGGTCAGCACCGCCTGCCAGTGCAGGAACACAGGAACTGTCGGGTAAGCATTGTGGGGACTTGGGTTGTGGGGAAAATGGACAGAAGGAACGAGAACATAAATGAATATGGGAATGAGCCACACAGGCTAGGGCATACTGGGGTTCATTGGTTTTGGGTTTGGTTTGTTTTTAGACCTTTTCTTTGAATTCAGACTCCTGGGCTTGCTAGATAGGCATTCCATCATTTAACCCCACTCCTCTAACACTTCTGTTTTTATTTTTATTTATTTCTGTGTACACACAAATAAATATTAATGAGAATCTACATATATATATATATATATATATATATATATATATATATATATATCGATATATATGCCAGTACTGGGATTTTAGCTTTTTCCAATCAAGCCTAGTACTCTACTACTTGAACCACAGGTCCACTTCCAGGTTTTTACTGGGTTAGTTGGAGATCTGAGGATTGTGGTTTGAAGCCAGCCCAGGCAGAAATGTCTGTGAGACTCTTACCTCCAGTAAACTACTCAGAAAAAAAATGGAAATGGTGCTGTGGCTCAAGTGGTAGAACACAAGCCTTGAGCACAGAGAGGCTCAGGGACAGTACCCAGGACCTCAATTCAAGCCCCCGGACTGGCAAAAAAAAAAAAAAAAGTATCATAGACTTTCCTGATAGACTGTTTATGAACCACAATCCTCAAATCTCAGCTTCCTAAGTAGCTAAGATTACAGATGTGAGCCCCCAGTGCATGGCTTTCTTTTCTTTTCTTTTCTTTTTGTTTTTTTTTTGGGGGGGGGGTCCGGTCGTGGGGCCTGAACTCTGGGCCTGGGCACTGTCCCTCAGCTCTTCAGCTCAAGGCTAGCGTTCTACCACTTGAGCCACAGCGCCACTTCCGGCTTTTTTCTTTTTTCTTAAGTGGTGCTGAGGAATCGAACCCAGGGCCTTGAGCATGCAAGGCAAGCGCTCTACCACTAAGCCACCTTCCCAGCCCCTTTTCTTTTCTTTTTAAAAAATCAGTATACTTTAGTATGCTCATCCCCTCTTATCACTATTTTTTACCCACCTCCCTCTGAAAACAATTTCAGCAGATTTCATTGTTCTATTTTCTTTTTCTTTCTTTTTTTTTTTCTTGTCGTGGGGCTTGAACTCTGGGCCTGGGTGCTGTCCCTCAGCACCCAGTCTCACGGACTTTCCTGCCTGGGCTGGCTTTGAACCACGATCCTTAGATCTCAGCCTCCTGAGTAGCTAGGATTACAGGCGTGAGCCACCAATATATTTTCATATATTCATGCAAAGTATGTCAAACACATTCATCCTCAGCCACCATGCCTTGTTACCCAAAACCCTCCAGCTGATACCCACCCCTCCATCCTATAGAACCTGTTTTGCTTTTCTGTTTAATGTGTATTCATTGTACCAAGGGGTTCAACCAAGATATTTGAGATGTGCACAAGTTTTGCTTTGTTTTGCTCAGATAATCTTCTCTATTGCTTTATCTTTTCCCACCCTCCAAGCCCTTACTGATTAACAGATGTCACTGAGACTCTTTATGCTATTTTCATACATAGTTGCAGTGTATCTTTTCCCACCCTCCAAGCCTTTACTGATTAACAGATTTCACTGAGACTCTTTATGCTATTTTCATACATAGTTGCAATATATTTCAATTATTCACTCTCTGTCCTCTTCTTTTTTCTTGTTGGTTGCTGGGCTTGAACTCTAAGCCTGGGGACTGTCCCTCAGCTCTTCAGCTCAAGGCTAGTGCTCTACCACTTGAGCCAAAGTGCCACTTCTGGTTTCCTTAGTGGTTTATTGGAGATAAGAGTCTCACGGACTTTTCCTGCCCAGGCTGGCTTTGAACCTCGATCCTCAGGTCTCAACCTCCTGAGTAGCTAGGATTACAGGCATGAGCCACCAGCGCCTGGCTTACCCTCTGTCATTTTTTATCCCTTTCCCTTTACTCTCATCCTCTTAAATAATTCCATAGTTAAATTCATGTTCTGTGTATATAGATATATACATATTCATATTATATATAACTTTATGTGTATCAGTATATATACATATGTATATGTATATAGACATTAAATGTATGTTTTTATACATTATATGCATATAGTGTCTATATACATATAGACATTAAAATGTTTGTCTTTTAGGTCTAGCTTCCACATATGAGTGAAAAAATACAATATTTTGGGGTTTTTTTAATTGGCTTGTCTCAATATATCCTCCAGTTCCACCCATTGTTGTGCAAATTACATGATTTCACTTTTCTTTAAGACTATATAATATTCTGTTATATGTATGTATATATAGCTCATCTTCTTTATTGTTGTTTGGTATCTCAGCTGATTGTGCCATTTGGCTATTGTGAACAATGCTACAATAAACATAGGTATATAGATGTCTTTTTGATATATTGATTTACACTCCTTTGGATTTATGCCAAATATTGTATAGAATAGGTCTAGTTTGGTTCTTTTGACCATATTGATTTCCATAGTGGTTTCATTAGTTTGCAGCGCATGAGGGTTTCTCTCTCTTTTTTTTTTTTTTGTTGGTTGTGGGGTTTGAACTCTGGGCCTGGGTACCGTCCTTGAGCTCTTCAGCTCAAGATAAGCACTTACCACTTGAGCCACAGCACCACTTCCGGTTTTCTGGTGGTTAATTTGAGATAAGAGTCTCACAGACTTTCCTGCCTAGGCTAGCTTTGAACTATGATCCTCAGATCTCAGCCTCCTGAGTAGCTAGGATTACAGGCGTAAGCTCATGGCACCCAGCTTAAAGGTTTCCTTTTCCTTGTATTCTCACCAGCAATTGTTACCCTTTTTCTTGATGAATACCATTCTTACTGGAACGAGGTGGGATCCTAGTGTAGTTTATAGCTATGGATATTGAAATTTTCTTCATGTACCTATTAGCCATTTGCATCTCTTCTTCTGAGAACTACCTGTTCAGTTTGCCTGTGTATTTATGAATTAGTTTATTTTTTCTTTTGCAAGTTTTGATATTGACCCTTTGTTGACTAGCTGGAAAAAGTTTTTTTTCTCATTCCATGGGTTGTTTTTTTGTTCTGGTAATTGTTTCAGTTTCCTGCAAGGTGAGAAACAGTTTGGGGAAAAACCATTTGTTGAAGAAACTGTCTTTTCTTCAGAGTGTGATTTTTGAATACTTTGTCAAAAATGTGTTGACTGAGTCTTCTTTTGTGTTCCATGGTCTTCTGCTCTGTTTTTGTGTCAGTACCAAACTGTTTTGTTACATAGCCCTGTAGTATGATTTGAAGTCTACTAATACTTTCAGCAGCACTCTTTTTATTTAGAATTGCTTTTGCTCTTTGGGGTCTTTTATACTTCCATATGAATTTGGAGATTGATTTTTTTATTTGTGTGAAGAATAGCATTGAGACTTTCATGAGTATTGCATAGAATCTAGATTTTATTGCAGTGGTATTGAATCTAGATTGCTTTTGGCAGTAGAGCCATTTTCAAAATATTAATTCCTCTACCTATGACATGGAAGGCCTTTCCATTTTGTTTTATGGATCCGTTTGAGGAATATTGGTGGTGTTCTTTAAAGGTGTGATAGTATTGTGCAGTGAATCTATCAGGTTCTGGATTTTCTTTGGCGCTTCTTATTGCTTCAGTCTCATTGTTTGTTGTAAATCTGTTTAAGCGGCTTATATATCCTTTTGGTGTAATTTTAGTAGGTCAACTGTTAATTGAACATAAGAGTTTCATGGACTTTCCTTCCCAAGTTAGCTTCAAGCCACAATCCTCAAATCTTAGCCTCCTGACTAGCTAGGGCCTGAGCCACCAGTGCCTGGGTCCTCTGCTATTATTTTATTGAGTAGGTTCTCAATGCCTTTAGTTTATATTTCTTTATTCTATAACATTGATTCCTAGGCTTGCTATTTTGATGGTGTATGAGAGGTCTTGTGAGTTTCACTTATATCTTAAGGTGTTTTTTTTTTCAATATTTCTTTGATCTAGTTCCTTTTCTTCAGTGCCTGATACCCTGTTCAACTTGTTCTTGTTAGGTAGGCTTTCAATTTAGTTTTTTATTTGGGTATTGAGCTCTTCATTTCCTTTTCAAGATTTGTTTCTTTATTGAATTCCTCTTTTATAACCTACATTGTCTTGTTTATGCCATTCAGTTGTTTGTATTCTCTTTGAATTTACTTAGATGTTTAAACATCACCTTGTTTATTTCATTGACTATTTTTTAGCTCATTGTTTGGACTTTCTTCTTCTCATTATCATTTAAGTCCTTTCTTGCAGAATTGTTGGCCTTTAAGGGAGACATTTTCCTTGTTTATTCATGAATTTAGTGATTCTTCTCTGGAACGTGTGCGTCTAGGATCTAGTTTTAGTGTAGAGTTTAATCTCCTGTGCCCTTTTAGTTGGTTATTTCTAACTAGTTACTTAATACTGGGTAGTGACTGGGTTGTGGTATATTTTTTGTTCCTAGGTTGGAGAAGTGCAGTTCAGTGATCAAATAAATCACTTACAATACTCAAGGCACTGTCTCTGAAACTCTTCTCCAGTCAGGATGAGGAAGCTTGATTGCAAAAGCTATTATAGTTGATAAACAACCTTGTGTTTGTGGCAATCTGTAGTGAAGAATAGTCCCCAGTATCTTTAGATGAACATAGAAGCAAAGATGTATTATGCTCTTACATCGGAGTCAATTTCCCATGTCATAATCAAAGGGGAGGTAACGCTTGGATCTCCTCACTTTTTCTATGGCTGGGGTTGTTTCTCTGCTAGTTTCTTTGTGCTTCTTGGTTCTCTTCCCCTCTTTTTCCAGAATCTAGTCTCTTGTGTTAACACCAAGTTCTTCTCTCTCTCTCTCTCTCTCTCTCTCTCTCTCTCTCCCAGTCGTGGGTTCTGAACTCTGTCTCGCTCTTTCTTTCTCTCTCTCTCAGTCGTGGGCCCTGAACTCTGGCTCTGGGCACTGTCCCTCAGCTCTTCAGCTCAAGACTAGTGCTCTACCACTTGAGCCACAGTGCCACTTCTGGCTTATGTGGTACTGAGGAATTGAACCCAGGGCCTTGTGCATGCAAGGCAAGCATTCAAGCATTCTACCACTGAGCCACCTTCCCAGCCCCAAATTCTCTTTTGAGAAGTCAAAATGGCAGCTGCTTCTAATCTGCCAACCTTCCCTGCCTCCTTTATTTTGTTTTTGAGATAGAATCTGACTAATTTTGCTTGAAATCTTCCTGACTTTAACCTCTCAAGTAGCTGGGATCACAGATGTGTGCCACCACACCCAGCTTATTAGGATTTTTTTGTTTTTGCCAATACTGTGGTTTGAGCTCAGGGCCTGGGCACTGTCCCTGAGCTTCTTTTGTTAGCACTCTACCACTTGGGCTCCACCTCTGGCTTTTGGGGTAATTTATTGGAGTTAAGAGTTTCACAAACTTTCCAGCCCAGGCTGACTTTAAACTGTGATCCTTAGATCTCAGACTTCTGAGTAGCTAGGATTGTAGATGTGATCCACCAGTGCCCAGCTATATTAGGGTTTTTAATCTGGCCTTATTGACATACCTGTGCCATGTGGAACAAACTCATGAAGATGAATTTTTAGCCTGAGAGCTCAGGTCTGGAACATCTTTCTTCTTCCCATAACCTCTCTTTTCCCTTTGGAAATTCCCCAAAAACATCATAGAAATTGCAAGTTTGCTTGTCTGGATTCTTTCCTAGAGCCAACCCATAAAAGCCAGGGATATATGCCTGGTTCCTGCTTCTGCAATGCTTGGAGGAGGAGATTAATAACATCAGGTGGGCCAGGTTCTGGTGGCTCACACCTGTAACACTAGCTACTCAGGAGGCTGAGATCTGAGGATCATAGTTAAAAGCAAGCCCAGGCAGGAAAGTCTGTGAGACTCTCATCTCCAATTAACCACCAGAGCTTTGGCTCAGAGTGATAGAGTGCGAGCCTTGAGCAAAAGACCTCAGGGACAGTAGTTAGTCCCTGAGCTCAAGCCCCATGACCAACAAAATAAATAAGTAAATGACGTCAGGTGAGGGTGGTGTTGCATAGCAAGCACTTCATGTGTATTGCTCCTTGTCCCTGCACAACAGCACTGGAGGAAGAACCCAAGGCCAGATGACCCGCAATGACATCCGGGTAATAACTTCACTCCTGCACCTAAATGAGAGGGACACCCAAATGAGGGTAAATACAGCCCCCTGCCCTCTCAGATGCACTGACATGAACTGTAACATAAAAATGCCCTCTTGCAGAGGAAGTATCTGTCTGATATATTCCCAGGTCACTTCAACCATTGAGATCCTTTAAGACAGTACTTTAAGAATTTCTAACCAGGCATAGTAGCTCAAGCCTGTAGTCCTAGATTTTTGGGAAGAGGGGAGTGAGATATTGAAGTTTAAAGTCAGCCAGTCATAAAAGTTTGTGAGACTACATCTCACTCAATGCCTGTATATAGTGGTGCATACCTATTACCCTAGCTACAGGGGAAGCATAATATAATGGCTGAGCATAGTGGCCTGTACCTGTTATCGCCAGTGACACTAGGAAGCACAAGAAGGAGGATCATAGTCCAGGTCAGCCTGAGAATAAAGTGGGACCCTACTTGGAAATAAATAGCACAAAAAGGGGCTAGAAGCATGACTTAGCCTTGAGTTCAATCTCCAGTACAGGAAGGAAGGAAGGAAGGAAGGAAGGAAGGAAAAATTCTGATCAGTCACCAATGACTCATGCCTATAATCCTAACTACTTAAGAGGCTAGGGATAGGAGGATCCTAGTTTGAAGCCAGCCTGAGCAGAAAAATCCACAAAACTCAACCTCCTTAGATGGAAGCCTGGACTCAGTGCCTGTCATCCCAGCAATGAAAGGATTCTAGAGTAGATGGACGACAGCTCAGAGATATGCCCTTAGGAGAAGTGAGACCCTATCTCAAAAATAGTGAAAACAGGGCTGGGATGTGGCTCAAGTAGTAGAACACCAGCTTAGTAAACACAAGTTAGGATTTGTTAGGACTTTTTTTCTCTTTTCTTTTTTGGGGGGGAAGGGAGGAGGATTATTCTTTTTAAAAAATTGTTATAGCGCCAGGCGACGGTGGCTCACATCTGTAATCCTAGCTACTCAGGAGGCTGAGATCTGAGAATCGTGGTTCAAAGCTAGCCCGGGCAGGAAAGACCGTGAGACTCCTATCTCCAATAAACCACTAGAAAACCGGAAGTGGCACTGTAGCTCAAGTGGTAGAGCGCTCGCCTTGAGCTGAAGAGCTGAGGGATAGCGCCCAGGCCCAGAGTTCAAGCCCCATGACCAACAAAAATAAATAAATAAATAAAATAAAAAATAAAAAATTGTTATAGCTAGGCACCAGAGGCTCATGCCTATAATCATAGCTGCTCAGGTGGCTGGGATCTGAGGAGGATGGCTCAAAGCCAGTCCAGGCAGAAAATCCATGAGACTCATCTCCAATTAAACACCAGAAAACTGGAAGTGGTACTGTGGCTGAAAATGATAGAGCACTATCCTTGAGCAAAATAAAGCTCAGGGACAGCACCCAGGCCCTGAGTTCAAGCCCTATGAACAACAACAACAACAAAAAGTCTATCTCAAACCAGTAGCTGGGCAGAGTGGCCAGAGCCTGTTATTCTAGCTAGTGGTACACAACTGTAACTCTTGCCACTCAGGAGGCTGAGATCTGAGGATCGCAGTTTGAAGCCAACCAAGGCAGGAAAGTCCATGAGATTCATATCTCCAATAAACTACTCAGAAAAAGCTGGAAGTGATGCTGTGGCTCAAGTGATAGAGTGCTAGCCTTGAGTACAAAGAGGTTCAGGGACAGTGCCCAGGCCCTGAGCTCAAGCCACAAGACCAGCAAAAAAAAAAAAAAGTTATAAAGATGATGTACAGAGAGATTATAGTTTCATAAATCAAGTAAAGAGTACATTTCTTTCTGGAAAGTGTCATCTCTTCCCTTGCTGTCTCCCAGTTTTTCCCTCCCATCCCCACCCACAAGTTGTTCATTTTCAATAGTGTCTGTACCACTGTTGCATTTGTTTGCCCTTTGTCCCTCCATTTTTTTTCTTTCTTTCCTTCTCTTTCTTTCTTTCTGTTTCTTTCTTCCTTCCTTCCTTCCTTTCTATTTTTCTTTCTTTCTTTCTTTTTTTTTTGTGGGGGGGGGGTCCGGTTGTGGGGCCTGAACTCTGGGCCTGGGCGCTGTCCTTCAGCTCTTCAGCTCAAGGCTAGTGCTCTACCACTTGAGCCACAGCGCCACTTCCGGCTTTTTTCCTTTTGCTTATGTGGTGCTGAAGAATCGAACCTAGGGCCTCAGGCATGCAAGGCAAGCGCTCTACCACTGAGCCACTTTCCCTATTTTTCTCTATTTTTCTTTCTATCTTCTTCTTCTTCTTTTTTTTTTTTTTTTTTTGTCAGTCGTGGGGCTTTAACTCTGAGCCTGGGTGCTGACCCTCAGCTCTTCAGCTCAAGTCCAGCACTCTACCACTTGAGCCACAATGCCACTTCCAGTTTTCAGGTGGTTAATTAGAGATAAGAGTTGCTCAAACACTTCTGCCCAGGCTGGCTTTAAACCATGAACAATCCTCAGATCTCAGCCTCCTGAGTAGGATTACAGACATGAGCCATCGGTACTCAGCTTCTTTCTTTTTTTTAATGTATGAGCAGTTTGTCGGGTGCTAGTGGGTCACACCTGTAATTTTAGCTACTCAGGAGGCTGAGATCTGTGGTACAAAGCCAGCCCAGGCAGGCTTATCTCCAATTAACCACCAGAAAACCAGAAGTGGTGCTGTGACTCAAGTGTTGAGCGCTGGCCTTGAGCTGATGAGCTCAGGGACAGAGTCCAAGCCCAGAGTTCAAGCTCCATGACCAATAAAAAAAAAAGAAAGAAAGAAAAAGAAAAAGAAAAAAATATAAGAGCAGTTTACACCAAGGGACCTCAATCCAATTTGCTGAGGTCTAGTCCAGATGTACAGATGTTTGTGTGCTGCTCATGGTACACTGCTTGGCCTGTCCTGACCCAAGTGAACAGATGACAATGGTGTTTTGGGCAAGGAGTACATTCTGGGAAGGAGCTGAGGCACAAAGCCGCAGGGTATATATAGAAGGAAAACGCAGGGCTGCCTGCTTGCTCCTAATGCCAGCGTCTCCCCAACATGGGTTCTGTGTCTATGCCTTTGGTATAGTGCTCCCACCATCTTGGATGTATCTCTTTGCTTCCACAGCCCAACCTGTGCTCTGTTCTCTGCCCCTTAGCCTGTGCCTCAGCCCATCCTCATTTCTAATTCTCAGGATAGTGACTTTGGGCAAGTAGGGTCAAGGTTATGACCTGAGAGACAGAAGAGTCTCCAGAACAAATGCAGGTTCTTCCCCCTTCCCTCAAAGGGCCAGAGAAGTGAAGATGGAGGGGCTCAGCAGGGTGGCCTGTCCTTCATCCAGAATGGCAGGCTGTTACACAGAGCTCAGGGAAGGAAGGGCCTGTATATTCTGAAGACTTTTAAAACCATGCTAAAGGGCAACATGGACATATTTCTCCCAGGCTTAAACTCTCCAAGGTGGTTGTTGTTGGCGATCTCTACGTGGGGAAGACTAGCCTCATCCACAGGTATGTCCTGCCAGCTTCCTCCTCCCTAGTTAGGTCAGCCACAACTCTTAGTATCAGGTTGTCACACATTTACTTGGGAGGCCTAGATAAATTGTCATTGTAGGAAATGTTATGGTTGCTGGAAAGACCAGCCAGATGGGAACAGGACCAGGAATTGGGGAGAAGATGGCATTGACAGCCAGGAATCCTAGGAGGTTGGCACCGATTGACTAGCTCCCTGGGCCCTCAGGCTGGCCCTACATTGCCAACCCTGGAAATAGAGCCTCAGTTTCTCTGTTTGTCATCTGAGCTTCTGTAGTCTTCTTCCCCACAGCATTCTTGTTGGCTACCCTGTTACTGTGGTTTAGATCAGTGTCCACAAGACTGTGGAAGATGGTAGAATCTTTTAAGATGTGAGGCCTAGTGGGAGGTCCTTAAGTCATTGAGAGTGTGTCCCTTAAGGCAATATCAGCACCTTTTTTGGTCCCTTTTTCCTTTTGTCATTTGCTTTCTAGCCTTGAAGTAGTTGATTTTGCTCTTCCAAGGACTCCTGTTATTATGTGCTGCCCTGACACAAGCCCAAAGCCACAGGGCTAATCAATGTGAGACTGGAACCTTCAAATCTCTAAGCCCAAATGAAATTTTTGTTTTGTTTGTTTGTTGTTGGTTGTGGGGCTTGAACTCTGGGCCTGGGCACTGTCCCTCAGCTCTTCAGCTCAGGAGAGTGCTCTACCACTTGAACCATAGCACCACTTCCGGTTTTCTGAGTAGTTTATTGGAGATAAGAGTCTCCATGGCCTTTCCTGCCCAGGCTGGCTTTGAACTGCAGTCCTCAGATCTTAGCCTCCTGAGTAGCTAGGATTACAGGCATGAGTCACTGGCACCTGGATGAAGTTTTTCTCTGAATAAATTGATTATTATAAATTGACTAACGCACCTAACCATCCACTGCCTCTGTGGATGCTCCCCCCCTTTTTTTTTTGCCAGTCCTGGGTCTTGAACTCAGGATCTGGGCACTGTCCCTTAGCTTCTTTTGAACAAGGCTAACACTCTCCCATTTGAGCCACAGTACCACTTACGGCTTTTTCTGGTACTGAGGAATTGAAAGTAGGGCTTCATGCATGCTAGGCAAGCACTCTACCACTAAGCCACATTCCCAGCCCAAACCCTCCTTTCTTTATAGAGTCTCTATTGGTAGATTTTATTTGCCTGTAGACTATGCCCACTTTTGTAAAGTTACTTCCCTGATGACTTCCTCAACTCCTACAGGTTCTGCAAGAATGTTTTTGACCGTGACTACAAGGCCACTATTGGAGTAGACTTTGAAATTGAGCGTTTTGAGATTGCTGGGATTCCCTACAGCCTGCAGATGTAAGTCACCACTGTGTGCTTTTCATTTTCACATAGCTTGTGGGTAGACTTCCTAGAGACACCTGGGAAAGGGCTTGGTCAGCTCCTCCATGGTGTTTTGCACCATGGTGCCTAGCAAGGGCCCATCTAGACAAGCAGAGCCTGGGATGGTTTGAGAAATCAGGCTTCATGACTCCCCAAGATCCTAACACTCCCTTACTTGTTTTGTGTTTGTCTTGGATCTGAAGAAAGACAGTTACAGGCTGACCTTCCCATTCACCTGCCCTGATGACGTCCTGATCTTGCTAAAGCTCAGGTCCCCTCCCTGGGCTCTGGTTTGTTCCTCCCAAACTGGATCCACAGGGAACTCCCATGACTGCAGAGAAGATAGGGTGGCCTCGGGCAAATCTCTCCTGACCTCTGAGCCCATTCCCCACCGGTAAAATGGACCCGAAGTCAGACCTTTCTCTGAGTCTTTCTCAGGTGATGGGAGATGTTCATCTTTCCCTCAATAAGGAAGTAACTACTACTTCTTCTTGTCAGTTGTGGGGCTTGAACTCAGGACCTGAGCACTATCCCTGAGCTTTTTCACTCAAAACTAGTGTTCTGTCTACCACTTTGAGCCACAGTGCCAATTCAGATTTTCTAGTGGTTAATTGGAGATAAGAGTCTCACAGGCTCCCCTGCCTGGGCTGGCTTTGAACCATGATTCTCAGATCTCAGCCTCCTGAGTAGCTAGGATTACAGGTGTGAGCCACTAGCACCCAACTTAGAAAGTAACTTCTAATCCCGCCAGCTAATTTTTGTTTTCACCACTATCTTCACTACTATAGCCATGCCTCTGCCTCTTAATACCCACTGGCTTAGCTCTCTTCCCTTCCAGAAAGCCCAAGGTTTCCCTAGGGCTCACCATTTCTCACCTCAGCCAAAGTGCCAGGTGTTTGGCCCTTTCCTCCCCCTTCCTTCTGCCACCTACAGACTGCTTCTGAGCTACGCAGGTTCCAGCTGCAAGCACATGCTCTCCTGCATGGCCCCTCTTCCATCTCTGTGCTTCCACTTGGCAATAACTGTCCATATTTTTTGTTTTTTTTTTTTGTCGGTCGTGGGGCCTGAACTCTGGGCCTGGGCACTGTCCCTCAGCTCTTCAGCTCAAGGCGAGCGCTCTACCACTTGAGCTACAGCGCCACTTCCGGTTTTCTGGTGGTTTATTGGAGATAGGAGTCTCACGGTCTCTCCTGCCCCGGCTGGCTTTGAACCTCGATCCTCAGATCTCAGCCTCCTGAGTAGCTAGGATTACAGGCGTGAGCCACCAGCGCCCGGCTAACTGTCCATTCTTTCCTGCATTCTCTGGGCCTCTGCTCTCACCCACAGCCCCTTTCTTCTGCCCTGGGTTCACCCTCTATCCTCCTTTCCCTACCTGAGCCTGAAGATCCTTTTTGTTTTTTTTGTTTTGTTTTTTTTTTGTCAGTCGTGGGGCTTGAACTCTGGGCCTGGGCGCTGTCCCTCAGCTCTTCAGCTCAAGGCGAGCGCTCTACCACTTGAGCTACAGTACCACTTCCGGTTTTCTTGTGGCTTATTGGAGATAAGAGTCTCACAGTCTCTCCTGCCCGGGCTGGCTTTGAACCGCAATCCTCAGATCTCAGCCTCCTGAGTAGCTAGGATTACAGGCGTGAGCTACCAGCGCCCGGCTGAAGATCCTTTTGGTGTCTGCTCCCAAGTCTGCCCAGACAGTGCCCCAGTGCAGTTTTGGAGCTAGATGATATCATTTTGTCCCATAGTAAACAGTCAGTCCAGAGCAAAAGACATGGTGTTTGGCAGAGCTGTGGCACTAAACGGGTTGGAAGACTGAGAAGAGCAAAAAGCCAGTGGAGGAAGCCCAGATGCAGCCCTGCAGAGATGGCTGGTGGCCGGTTTCTCCTGTGGCTGAAGGCTATATCTAATTAGAGGACCCAGGGAAAAGCAGAGAACTGTTCTGCTGTAGCCTGTCAGTGTTTTATGTTGAGATGGGGCCACCCAGCTGGCCCCATCTCCAGACACGCCCACACAGTCTCCTTAAGGGATGAAAGAAAGCTGGGAATGTGGCTTAGTAATAGAGTGCTTGCTGGGTTCCATTCCTCAGTACCACATAAACAGAAAAAGCTGGAAGTCATGCTATGGCTCAAGTGGTAGAGCACTAGCCTTGAGCAGAACAAGCTCAAAGATAGTGCCTTGACCCTGACAAAAATAAAAATAAAAAAGAGAGATGAAAGAAAATATGAGTGTATTATTGAAGGAATGTAGCCAAAGACTACATCATATTGGATCACTAAAATTAAAAAACAAAAAACAAAAACCTTCAGACCATTGATATCCTGATTTGTCTTATCAGTTTTACTGAGAAAAGTTAAATTATGATCCATTGGCTTTAACTGGGGATGAAATGTGGAATGGATTTTAGGCTCATCTCTGCATATTGACCACTAGCCTGTCCTAAGTCAACAGAAGAACATCACTGGGCACTGGTGGCTCAATGCCTGTAATTCTAGCTACTCAGGAGGCTGACATCTGAGGACCACGGTTCAAAGCCAACCCAAGCAGGAAAGTCTATGAGACTCTTATCTCTAATTAAACACCAGAAAACTGGAAGTGGCACTGTGGCGTAGGTGGTAGAGTACTAACTTTAAGCTGAACAGCTCAGGGACAGTGCCCAGGCCCAGAGCTCAAGCCCCATCACTGACTTAAAAAAAAAAAAATCCATCCTAATCCACTTATCCATCTTCTTCTCTTTGATACCATGCCCATCACAGACATCATTGATCCAGGATTCAGCTTCTAAGTCCATCTTTTTTTTTTCTGGTACAAGGACTTGACTCAGGACCTTGTGTTCTCACTTGGCTTTTTCACTCAAGGCTAGTGATGTACTACTCAATCCACAGTTTCATTTTTGCCTTTTTTTCTGATTAATTGGAAATAAGAATCTCAAGGACTTTACTGCCCAAGCTGGTTTCAAACCACAATCTCCAGATCTCAGCCTCGTGAGTAGTTAAGATTACATGTGTGAGCCACTAGTGCCCAGCTCTAAGTCTGTCTTAACAGCTCTGGCTTTCTGGGTCAGAGTTACCCAGGTCCCTAAAGGTGAAACAATGCCTTAGTCATACACAAACAAGTGACTGATACAGCCAGCCAGCTGAGGGCCTAACCTGGCGCCCCAGGAAGAGGCTTCATTCACAGAGCATATGCTCTCTTACAATGTCAACCATCATAAGATCATATGCTCCCTCATAGTGTCACAGTCAGAAAGGCCTAAGTTGCAATTCCATTCATCTGGGCAGCTGCCTTTCCCATAGGCACTGTGATTCCAATAGAGAATCCTCTTGAGGTACCTATGAGGGATTAGCTAGCTGGGAACAGATAGAATTGACTCATACAGTTACCTTTTTTAATGCTGGTCTTAGGGCCTGAGCTTGGGACATGGGCTCTGATCCTGAGCCTTTCTGCTCAAGGTTAGCACTCTACCATTTGAGCCACAGCTTTACTTCCATCTTTTTGGTGGATAATTGGAGGTAAGAGTCTCATGGACTTGGCTAGCTTTGAACTGCAGTTCTCATATCTCAGCCTCCTGAATAGCTATGATTGCAGGCATGAGCCACCAGCACCTGGTTCACACAGGCCCTTTTGTGTGTGTGTCTGTGTGCCCATACACTGTGTGCCAGTACTTGGACTTGAACTCAGTGCTTGGGCACTATCCCTTAGCTTTTATGCTCAAGGCTGGTGCTCTACCAATTGAGCCACAGCTCCACTTCTAGTTTTTTATAGTTCGTTAGATATTGGTATCTCTTTTCTGCCTGGGCTGGCTTCAAACCTTAATCCTCAGATCTCAGCCTCCTGAGTGGCTAGGCTTATAGATGTGAGCCACCTATGCATAGCTTTCACACAGATATTTTTTTTGAAGCCCATGTGAGGCTAGTACAGTTGTACAGGTCCTTAAATTTCTCTCCCATGATCTCAGTAGCCTCCTTGCTTAACCTGCCTCTACCATTTTCCTTTCTCTGTCTTTACTTTGAAGCTGGGACACAGCTGGGCAGGAGAAATTCAAGTGCATTGCATCTGCCTACTACCGCGGTGCCCAGGGTAAGCAGCCATGATGGTGGGGCCTTCACATGCAGCATGAGGCTCTCTGCTGGAATCAGTAATAAGAAGCACCAGTTTGCTGTTCTCCAGGACCCACTGAGGAAATTCCAGTCAGTGCTGGGAGATAGTGGGGGAAGCTGCCTTCAAGCTAGGGCCCTGTTGGGCTTTGGAAGTCACACCTCAGGGAACGTGTGGTGGCAGGTGCTGGCTGCTGGTATCAGCCTGTTTTCAGCTCAGAAGGATGCTCAGAGAGGGTTGTTTACCAGGGGTTCTAGAAAAGAGCAACCTTAGACTCCAGGGGGAGGAGAGAAAAGGCTTTACCTGGCCTAGCAATGGAGTTAGGAGATTAATCCAGAGATGAAGGAAGGATGAATCCTGCAGGATTGGCAGATCTCAAGTAAGGAACCAGCAGGGCTCAGTGCCTACTGCTAACATGGCCAAGTATAGCCTGGCACTGGGGAGGGTTTACAGTCAGCAGAGGAAGCAGCATAAGCTCTCCATACCAACCCTAGGAAGACAGAAAGGAACTCCAGTAGAACTCTAAGAAAGACCCCAAATCAGGTGTAAGAATCACAACATTTTCAGGTTTGAGAGAAGAAAAACCAGGAAACCATAGCATCTCACCTAAGCCCTGGATTGGAGGTCCAGCTCAGCCATGTCCACTATGGCCTTTTTTTTTTTTTTTGCCAGGCCTAGGCACTATCCCTGGGCTTCTTTTGCTCAAGGCTAGCACTCTGCCCCTTGAGCCACAGTGCCTCTTCCAGCTTTTTCTGAGAAATAGAACCCAGGGCTTCATGCATGCTAAGCAAGCACTGTACCACTAAACCACATTCTCAGCCTACTATGGCCTTTTGAAACCTTCCAGCCCCTCTAGGCCTCTCTCTTCCTGAAGGGATGCTTCCTTCCTGGGGCTAGTGGTGTGAAGTACTTTCACATCTCGGCAAACAACAGCTGGGCTGCCATCATGAGCATGCTCAGGATCCTCCCTCTCTCTGCGGGCCTCTAGAGAGCAGGGGCTCCCCATTAGCTCCCCAGAAATTTGAGTTCTCTGAAGCCGGTTGTTACTGTCATCACAATCTTAACTGCTACTAGTCCTAGTTCCTAGGACTACTAGCTTTTCAAAACAGCTGTCCCTGCTTATCTTCATAGTAATTCTGAGAACTAGAGGTATCCTTTTCACCATTTTATCATTTCCTCACCAGATGGAGAAGCTGAGGTGCTTAAAAGTGAAGGCCTTCACCTAAACTTCCTTTGTCCAAAGTGGAAGAAATTCTTTTTGCCAAAACTCATGTGGGCTCATGTGCTCACTATCTACCTTGTCCTGCCTCTCTAGATTTCACCCTGGGGCTCCGTACAGTGGAAGGGCAGGTCTCAGACGATAGCCACAGAATTTTTGTTCCCCGGCCTCCACCAAGAGGTCCAGGGGTGAGTGCCTTTGGGCTGCCCCAGAGATTCCCCATAGTCTGGAAAGGTGAAAGATGCTGGTAGGGAGCCTTCTTTGTCATTGTTAGCCCTGCTGGTTGTGATTGGTTGTTGGTATTTCCTCCCATGTCCAGTGATCATCACAGCATTTGACCTCACTGATGTGCAGACTCTGGAACATACCAGGCAAGTAACCCAGGCTCTGCAACCTCTGCAGGGTCCCCCAGGTTCCAGAAGCTTCCTGGAAGGACTCTCCAAACTTAGGCTCCTGGAACTGGCCCTTTGACCATAGATTTCAGTGACTGGTTCTCACTTGTGAGAACCAATTTTCCACACACTGATCACTAACTGTCTTACTACCCTCTGACCTAAGACTTGTCCCTGACTGCTGCTCAGGTACTCATGAGCCAAAGTACCAACAACACTTGCTTTACTAGGCTATTGGCATCATGATATAAATCCAAAGCAATTTTTAATGAAGAGGCCTCATATACTCACTTTGCCCTGAACCCTGATAACCCTGAGTAGGGTTCACAGCTAAGAACTGGTTCTTGATCACCACTGATCAGTGCCTTTTATCTCCCTCAAAGTCCATGAGACCCTATTGGCTACAGATTCTCCTGAGCCAGTGTGGACAGTGCTTCCTAGCCTTGTGGCAGACTTGAGTTTGCCCCCAGATCCCTAGTCTTCCTTGGGCCTCCCTGGGAGAGGAAGGTGACATCTCTCAGCCTGTCATTCTGTGCATTCCAGGCAGTGGCTAGCTGATGCCTTGAGGGAAAATGAGGCGGGTTCCTGCTTTATCTTCCTTGTGGGAACCAAGAAGGACCTTTTGGTGAGCAGATTGAAGCTGGAGGCCTAGATGGCTCTTGGGAAAAATGCCTGTGATTTTGTCTTAAGTTGGAGGTATGGAGATGGTGCTTATGGGCCATGGGCCTTAAAGTAGAAAGAAGGGAGAAGTCGAGTTCTTCTGCCAGGGGCCTTCTCCCAGAGATCTCCCTGCAGAAGGTCTCGAACACGAGGCTATGAGGGCTACTTCTCCCAGTCAGGGGCAGCATGTGAGCAGGCTGAAGCGGAAGCTGTCCACCTGGCCAATGAGATGCAAGCTGAGTACTGGTCAGTGTCAGCCAAGACAGGTGAGTTGGGGCCAGAGGATGTCCTAGAGCCAGTCCTGATGTGACTACCATGATACAGAAATTCTTGTGTACCCATCTGCAGCTTTGGTCATGTTGGCATGACAGCCTAGCTGTGCTGGTGGTGACTGGCAGTGCCTTCTGTTGCCTGAGAGGCATCTTCCCTCAGAGGTCTAATCCAGGGACAGAAAGAATTGTAACCCTTTCCATTCCTTGCCAGACCACCATGTTCTCTAGCACCCCCACCACCACCTTGGGTCACCCAATATCTTCAAGCCTCTGTCTCCTGCTGTGGGAAACAGTGACTGGCTGATATCCTAAGGGCATCTTTCCTGTCCTGTGAGGACCCATCCTCCTTTATCACAGTAACAGAAAGTTCACTGAGATCTTACTATGGGTCAACAAGACTGCCCCATGCAGTAGGATAGTTTTAGTAGCCCAAGGGCCTTGTTCACATTGGGTGCTAGAACTCTGCTTCTTCCCTGATAGGCAGCTGCCTCTACCTGATGGAAGATAGACAGATGTCAGTCTTCAGCACATGGGATGTTCTAGTAGAACAGAGCTTGAAGTTCTGGGCTTCACTGTCCTCAGTCTGTCTTGAGCTCTACCTGTCCTAGCTTCCAGCTCATAGGAAGTGTTCCTTAGCAACTGATTGGAAGAGTAGATGCTAGGAACTGGGAAAGCTTGGATTTGAGGGAATAAATTGGTGAAATCAGGAGAGAAGCCAGGGTGGAGGTCTCTGACCACATGGATATGTAGGGCTGCACCCTTCTGTGGTCACCGTTACTGCCAGAGATGCTCTAGAAGGGGCCATAGCCAACCTGAGGGTGGACTGGCCTGGCTCCTGTACCCACATGCATCTAGCGAAAGCAAGAGTCACAGCTATCTCATGGGTCCCCAGGAGAGAACGTGAAGGCATTCTTCAGCCGTGTTGCTGCCCTGGCATTTGAGCAGTCAGTTCTGCAGGACCTGGAGAAGAGGCACAGCACCCGGCCTCAGGTCGGCGACGGAGACCTCATTCGTGCGTATAGGCCTTGCTGATGAGTCTAGGACACAGCCTGGAGGCTGGAAACCATACCTACCATTCCCTTCACCCAAGACCCTGCCATTCCTTTACCTTGTTCTCTTTGACTCCTAATCTCTGAGCTGTTACCTGGCCTCAGGCTTACAGCCTCTTCACCCCACCTGCGAGGCCCTCCTTGGCCCACACCAGGTATCCTGAGCTCTGTGGATAGGTTCTGGCTTTGGCTCTCCCAGTCCATTCTGTTGCCCACTCAGTTCCACTACCTGGAATGCCCCACCCAGGCCTTTTGCCCTATGCCAAGTCCTCTAGACTATGAAGAGCGGGTCGAGAGATCAGGCTCAGGGCATCAACTACCTGGGTTAGATAGCCCCTATCCAAGGTCTGCTGCTGGATGCTGGATTCATGTTCTTTTCCTCTCCTTACAGGAATGGAGGGAAGTATATTAGAGACCCAGGACAGCAAGAAGTCCCCCACCCTGAGCTGCTGTTAGCTGGGCCCAGTGTCAGAGGCATCCACTTTCTGCATGGGCAGTGGCTTCTGTGACTTTTGGAGGGGTGACATGGAGTCTAAATTCTGCGGTGTGTCTGTCCTCAAACTGTGGTGGGTCTGTCAGGTGGCCTGAGCTCATCCACTTCTCTTTAACAGGCTGGGAGCCATTGGCTGCTGAGTGTTCTGCACTGCCTGACTACTGGGGCACTTCAGTGATCTGAGAGACCAGTCCTACCTGCAGGAACAGCAGACAGTCACCGGTGTCTCTCAAGGCCTCGGTTCTGCACTAAGAATACCACAGTGCTGACCCCACGTCCATCACCCATGGCCCACATTGGTAGTCAATCATGGTGCTGTGTCCTGGAGATCTAGATAGGGCCTCAGAACTGGTTCCCTTGCAATGTTCCAGGAACCAGGACTTTGTCTGAACTGAAAGGAACCCACTGCTGTCCCACTTGGGAGTTTTCTATGATCAATATAATTTGAAGTTCTGGGTCTCACTGTTCACTCACTGGCCCTCTACCACAGACTCTTAGGACCCTGGTAGCCCTGTTGCTTTCAAGGGCAATGGACAAAAAGGAAGGTCTCTCAGGCCCATCTAACTGATCTCCATTCCCATTACCTCTGAGATCCCTGTGACTGTGCCCTCCAGGACAGTGGGTAAGGACAGCAGAATAAGCCTCTGGCTCACCTGGAGGATGGATTTCTTTTACCTTGCTGGGAGATGAAGATTGTATAGCTGCCCTTCGAGTAACTCACTCAACCTCCTTTGAGCTTGGCATTGCCCTGCTTTGTCGTCTATGCCATGCCCACTGCTCCTTCCACTTCTCTCTCCCACTAGCCTGCATAACTCTCAGGACTACACATCTTTGAAAAACTTCAGAGTATCTAGCACATTCCTTGGTTCATTACTTCCTCCAGTACAACCCAGGGCAGGCAGCAATGCCACCCCTGCTTTCTGCCTAGAGGATCTGCCCTCCGCACGCCCCTGTGTCACTCCTCCTCAGGGTCTGCTCTGACTTCATTGCTATACCCTCCTTCTGCCATTGGCAAGTGAGTGCATCCTGTGTCCCTGTCTACTTCTTGTTGATGATGAGAATTTGGGGACTGGTGTGCCCATATGCACCCTTCTCCTAGTACCTAGCACATCACATCCAAGTGATTGCCAAATATCAGGAACACTGGCATGTTTCCCTGCCCAGTATCCTTTGGCTGAAATTGTAAATATATATATATGCACATATATTTATATATATGAGTGTATGTATGAAATGCCTTTTTATAGAAACCACTTTTTAATTTTTATTGTTATTTTAAAGGTGACATACAGAGGAGTTGTGCATTTCTTTTTTTTTTTTGGTCTGGTCGTGGGGCCTGAACTCTGGGCCTGGGCGCTGTCCCTCAGCTCTTCAGCTCAAGGCTAGCGCTCTACCACTTGAGCTACAGCGCAACTTCCAGCTTTTTTCTTTTTGCTTATGTGGTGCTAAAGAATCGAACCCAGGGCCTCATGCATGCAAGGCAAGTGCTCTACCACTGAGCCACCTTCCCAGCCCCTGTGCATTTCTTTTTTTTTTTTTTTATTTTAATTGAGAACATACTGTACAGAGGGGTTACAATTACATGGGCAGGAAAATGCATACATTTCTTACCAAGCATTGCAGCCTCCTCCTTTGTTTACCCTTCACCTCCCTTCCCAGCCTCCCCCCTCCCCCCCCACCCAATCATACCCCCCCCCCCCAACGACATTGTAAAGCTGGTTTTGACATGACATTTTGTACTTCTCATTGTTGCAACAGGTCCACCTAAATCCTTAAACGACTTGTTTGTCCCCGTCTCCTCCTCATGTTATACTGACATCAAATATAGTGAAAGCGGGGGTTACACTGTGGGGGAGGGACATACAAAGCAACAAAGAAATAATATTATAAATGCGTTAGAAACACATGCATGAAAGAAACAAAAACATTAAAATACATATTTGAGGGTTCGTTTTCCTAACATCACATTCTCTGACTTTTTCCGCTTGACTCATACCTATACTAGATATTGCAAATAAGGGAAACCATGGGACCTATGTTTCTTTGGGCCTGGCTTACTTCACTTAATAGAATTTTTTCCAAGCCTTTCCATTTCCTAACAAATGGGGCAATGTCATTCTTTCTGATGGAGGCATAGAATTCCATTGTGTATATATACCACATCTTCTTGATCCATTCATCTACTGAGGGGCATCTGGGTTGGTTCCATATCTTAGCTATGGTAAATAATGCTGCAATAAACATAGTTGTGCTGGTAGCTTTAGTGTGGCCTTGTTTGTGGTCATTTGGGTAAATGCCCAAAAGTGGGATTGCTGGGTCATTGGGGAGCTCTATATGGAGTCTTTTGAGGAACCTCCATACTGCTTTCCAAAGTGGTTGAACAAGTTTACATTCCCACCAACAATGAAGTAAGGTTCCTTTCTGTCCACATCCCCTCCAGCATCTGTTGTTGTTAGAGTTCTTGATTTTTGCTGTTCTAACTGGAGTCAGGTGATATCTCAATGTTGTTTTGATTTGCATTTCTTTTATGGCTAGGGATGTTGAACATTTCTTCATGTGTCTATTGGCCATCCTTCTTTCTTCTTCAGAGAAGCTTCTCTTTAAGTCTTTCGCCCACTTACTTATTGGGCAGTTGTTTCTTTGAGGATTTGTTGTTGGGTGGTTTAATTTTTTGAGTTCCAAGTATATTTTAGATATGAGACCCTTGTCCGTTGTATGGCTAGTAAAGATCTTCTCCCAATCCATGGGCTTTCTATTGATCTTGCTAGCTATGTCATTTGCCCTGCAGAAGCTCTGCAACCTTATACAATCCCATTTGTCCAACCTTTCTTTGATTTGTTGTGTTTCCGGGTCTCTATTCAGAAAATTTCGGCCTGAGCCGAGGAGACCCAGGGTTTCTCCTATTCCATCCTGTAATGTTTTCAGAGTGTCTGCTTTGAGTTCAAGGTCTTTGATCCATTTGGAGTTGATTCTGGTGCAGGGTGATATAGAAGGATCTAGCTTTAGTTTTCTACATGTAGTTAACCAGTTTTGCCAGCACCATTTACTGAAGAGGCTGTCTGTCTTCCATTCTATTGTTTTAGCTCCCTTATCGAAGATTAGATGGCTATAGGTCTGTAGGTTCATTTCTGGGTTTTCAATTCTATTCCATTGGTCCTGAGGTCTGTTCTTATGCCAATACCAAGCTGTTTTGATTACTATGGCTTTATAGTAGAGTTTGAAATTTGGTACTGATATTCCTCCAGCAGTGTTCTTTCCGTTGAGGAGCGTTTTTGCTATTCGGGGTCTTTTATTGTTCCATATGAATTTTTGGATTGCCTCTTCTATTTCCTTGAAGAATGAGGGTGGAATTCCCTGTGCATTTCTTGTATGACAATGTCCCTCTTTACCTCACAGAATCACTTAGAGGAATTACATGCTTAGTGAAAAATACAAGGTAATACCAAAGCTAATAAAATGTGGAATGGAAGTTCCCCCCATGTTAATCACGCCTCCCAAAGTAAGCATGCATGGCTAACAGTTGGTTTCATGCCTCTGCGTTATGCTTCTGCATGCATACCACCATGGTGATTGGCTTGTGTCTCTAGAGTGACCTTGTGCTGTACACACTGCCTGGCAGGCTGTCTTCCTGATGGCTACCTCCGGTCCCTCTCATACACTGAGCTTACTTTTCCTTGGTGTGGATGAACCATCCTTTATATTACCTGGCCTATACATGTGTCATCTAGTTTGATTGGCTAGTTATCAGTTTGAGCTCAAGGTCTCCTGCTTTCTAGACAGGCATTCTTCTACTAGATCCATGGCCTCTGTCCTTGCTTTCAGTTCTTTTTTTTTCCTCAGTAGGGGCTCCTGCTTTTGTGCGGTATGGGGCTTAAAATTCCCAGACAGAGTCTTGCTGGCTCTTTGCTTTATTTTCTTGTTTTGTTGTTACTGTGTGTGTGCCAGTACTGGGACTTGAACTCGGGACCTGGGCACTGTCCCTTAGCTTTGTCATTCAAGGCTCTACCACAACTCTACTTCCAGCTTTTTGGTGGTTAAGTGTGTCAGACTTGTCTTCTTGGTTTGCCTTTGAACCTTGGTCCTCAAACCTCAGCCTCCTAAGTAGCTAGGTTTACAGGAATGAGCCAATGGTGCCCAGCTTTGGTTCTTTTTTGTGGTTGTGGCCTATTCCACTAGACCACACTGGAGATCTATTAATGGAGGTGCTTAGGTTGGCAGGTTATAGCAGAAAGTGTCACAAGGTGGGAGTAGCCAGCCATGGCTGCTTTCCTCCACCTACCCTTTCCTTTGGTTTTCAGGCCCCAGGAGGATGGGTCATCCTGCTATCACCAGATCCTAAGTTAGAAGGGCACTGTTTCATGTATACCTACACCTCTGTAAAAGGTCCTTTATTGGCCGGGCACTGGTGGCTCACGCCTGTAATCCTAGCTACTCAGGAGGCTGAGATCTGAGGATCACGGTTCAAAGCCAGCCCGGGCAGGAGAGACCGTGAGACTCCTATCTCCAATAAACCACCAGAAAACCAGAAGTGGCGCTGTAGCTCAAGTGGTAGAGCGCTCGCCTTGAGCTGAAGAACTGAGGGACAGCGCCCAGGCCCAGACCCATGACCGACAAAAAAAAAAAAAAAAAAAAAAAAGGTCCTTTATTAAACCACTCATGTTGCCCACTGTGGTGTGCCAGCTGCTTCCTCTAGGAACTAGCTCACTATCTCTAGTTTCAAAATCTGGCCAGAAGCATGAAGACTAAGCTCACCATTGAAAATAAAAGGAAGAGACTCTGTTTCCCTGTTGGCTAACATGGTGTTGTCTTAGAGTGTTAATGCTGCTTCACCTCAGTATCTAACGCCAGGTAAGTTATAAACAATGAGATGTTCATTTGGTATAGAATGATCACATTCCTAGTTTACTGGCTCCATCTCAGAGTTTTGTTTTTTTATCTTTTGTTTTAGGGTTTTTTTTGTTTGTTTGTTTTTGTCGGTCGTGGGTCTTGAACTCTGGGCCTGGGTGCTGTCTCTCAGCTCTTCAGCTCAAGGCTAATGCTCTACCCCTGAGCCACAGCGCCACTTCCAGCTTTTTCTGCTTATGTGGTGCTGAGGAATCGAACCCAGGGCCTCGTGCATGCAAGGCAAGCACTGTACCACTGAGCCACCTTCCCAGACCTGTTTTATTTTTTTTATCTTTTGTTTATTTGTTTGGTGCCCATCCTTGGGCTTGAATTCAGGCCCTGAGCTTTATCTGCTGAAGGCTAGTACTCTACCACTTGAGCCACTGCTCCACTTCTGGCTTGTTGAGTGGTTAATTAGAGATGAGTCTCACAGACTTTCCTGCCCACACACTTTAAACTGCAATCCTCGAATCTCAGACTCTGAGTAGCTAGGATTACAAGCCACCAGTGCCCAGCTTCTTTCCCAACTTTCTGTTCATCTCTCCATTTGTGTCCTCTCCTAGAGACATCTTCCTGTCCCTAATAGCTTAGGAGGTAGAGGTCTGAAAAGATGGAATATTTGAATACCTTCTTCATACTCCCGGTCTTACTCCTACCTCTGTCCTACCCTGGCTTGGGTCTAGTCCCAGTAAGATTCATATTCCAGATGGCTTTACCATGGGTAGTCGGGGAGGGTTCTGCATTCCTTAGATATGTCCATTTAGATGGTCTCAGTGCCCTGCTGCCCAGAGATGTGACTGCACGGCTCAACCATACCCAGTCATCCTCAGATCCCCAAGTGGAGCCCTTTCCTATCACAGCCTGCTTCCCATGACCCATGGTGTTGAGAAGTCTCCTCCCAGCCCAGCAACCACTGTGACCAGGGTGACCAGGCTCTTAGTTCCAGCCTCTCTCAGGCTTGTGTCCAGCCCTACTTCAGACCTCTAGAGTGAAGAGAAGACCATTAGAATCCATCCAAATCACACTATAGCCTGGGGGAAATGAAATGGGAACTACTCCTAGATGAACCTCACTGAACACCCAGATGCCTTAAACCAGGATGACGCTTATGGTCCTCTAACATATAGGTAAAGGAAGCAGACAGAAAATAGATTAAATTCACATGGTCACTCATGCACTTCGTGGGTATGTATGTGTGTGTGAGTGTGTGCACACATGCGCACATTCACGCGCACACGTGCAAGCATGCTGGTATTAGGGCTTGAACTCAAGGCCTTTAGCTTTGTTTTTTGCTCAAGGCTAGAGCTCTCCCACTTGAACCACATCTCCATTTCCAGCTTTTTGGTGGTTACTTGGAGGCAAATGTCATATAGGGTTTCCTGCCCAAGTTGTCAAACTGTGATCCTCAGATCTCAGCCTCCTAAGTAAGTAGCTAGGATTGCAGATGTGAGGCACCCCTGCCTAGCACATTCACTATTATTACTATTATTCTTTGTTGTTGTTGTTTTGAGATGATGTCTCAGTTGTAGCCCAGGTTGGCCTATATATCACAGTCCTCCTGCTTCAGCCTCTGAGTACTAGGATTATAGGCATGCACCACCAACAATTTTTGTTTCTGGTCCTGAGGCTTGAACTCTGGGCCTGGGAGCTGTCCCTGAGCCTCTTTGTGCTCAAGACTAGTGCTCTACTACTTGAGCCACAGTGCCACTTCTTCTTTTTTTTTTTTCTGTGAAGTTTATTGGAGATAAGAGTCTCACAGACTTTCCTGCCTGAGCTGGCTTTGAACCATGATCCTCAGATCTCAGCCTCCTGAGTAGTTAGGATTATAGGTGTAAGCCACCGGCACCTGGCTACCACCAACAATTTTCATTCATGAATTCCTACATTGCCTTTTCCTAGCCCGGTCCCCTGCATTCTCCCATTTACTACTCCTAGAGTCCACATGGCAGGTGACAGAACAACCTGCTTCACAGGTGACCTGACTTTAAGTGACTCCTGGAGCCACACAGACTGGGACCAAGAGGCAACTCTATCCAGTTATAGTCCTGGGCCTCTCTAAACAATAATAGGTAGACACACCATTCTAGGCCTGAGGAAGACTATAGAGAGGACCTGGAGACAGGAAGAGTAGACCTGATTTTTGGGGGGCGGGGAAGTGGAGAGTATTTTAGGAGAAGAAACACAAAGAGGAGCTTTTCTTCTATGTAAGAAATTATTCTAGGATGGCCCTGAGCCCCACCTAAGAAGCCCAGGGCTTGAGGTACTGTCCTAACATACAGCCCCTTCCTAACAACTCCAAAGGCTCCTCTGCCATCTGCTGTGACATCCCCATGTCACCTCCCATATGTTAGGCCTTCCCCTGAGGGAAGCTGATGGGCAGATGGGAAGTGTGGCTGTCACATTGCCTCCTTCCAGGCAGATCCTTCCCAGCCTCTAAGTCCAGATGCCTCCCTGGCATTCAAGGATACCAGCCACCTGTCTGAGCCTGTGCCCCAAGCAGGTGTTAGCTTTTCAATCAGCCTGCCCACCTCTCAGCGGTCTGGGATGCAAAGCAGGTCTGGAGCTCTTTACTACCATGGATGGAGGGAATCCCTGACCTGAGGGTGTTCTAAGCTGCTGGAAGTCAGACTGGATATCACACTGGCCATAACAGGAGCAGAGCAAGTTTGTTTTATCTCAGCCCCTCCTCTCCCTGCAAAGACTACAAACAGCAGTCAGGAGATTCCACTGGGATTCCGCTTGGATATAAGAGACCTCATCAATAATTCTGTAGAAGGCAGGGGACTTGCTGTGAAGGGACTTGGGAGGAAGGTCTGGCATGCTCCACTGGGAATCTTGGCCAGCAGTTCCAGAAGATTCTCTTCTTACTTAGCAAGGATGTCCTAACATATCCCTGCTCCCAGCTCTGGGCCAGGGGTTCACAGGCCTGGGGAGGGGGGTGCATTGTCCAGCACAGCACCAGCAATCAAAGCTAGAGACCAGTTGTATTGCTGACCCTGGTTTTCTGTTCTTGCCCCTGGCTCCCCAGGGCTGACATAATAGATGATGGATAACAGATGATGGGAAGGAGGGGTCATGTGATCACATCTCACTTGAAAGTTGTTCTCCTTCAGCCTCTAGCTAGGATAGAGATGGTAGTGCTGACCACACAGAAGGAGAAAGGTTTTGGAGCTAGCTCTGAGTATGTCTTAAGGCAGAAAGCCCTGCTATATTTAAGGGGCCCCACCATAGCCTGAGGGTACAATGGTCACTTGTTTGGGTCTCTGGTAGGCTGAGCTCAAATCTGGGCGTCCACCTATTGCTGTGTGATGGGAAGGTCACTATCTCTCTGAGGTCCCGTCTCTGTGCCTTGTTGAAATGGATGGCTGTAAGAATGGAAAGGAAGTGGCACTGTGGCTCAAGTGGTAGAGCATTCGCCTTGAGCTGAAGAGCTCAGGGACAGCACCCAGGCCTGGAATGGAAAGTAATTTATGTCTGTGGAGGCCTGGTCCCAAGTCTGCCATCTGTGAGGGCTAGGTGGATGGGAGCCCTGAAAACTGGAATCTCAGGCAGAGGGCCACTGTGCCCACCCATATAACACCTTCAGGTGAATTAGAAAAAGAGTACTATGTAGTTTCTCAAAAAGTGAAAAACAGCTGGGCACCAAAGGCTCACACTTGTAATCCTAGCTACTCAGAAGGCTGAGATTTGAGAATTTTAGTTTGAAGTCACCCTAGGCAGACAAACTGACTCTGTATCTCCAACTAACCATCCAAAAGTCAGAAGTGAAGGTATGGCTCAAGTGGTAGATTGCTAGTCTTGAGCAAAAAAACCCAAGCAAAAGTACAAGCACCCTGAGTTCAAGCCCCAAACCCTGCTTCCCCACAAAGTAGAACATGAAGCCAGTTGCCTATGGCTTACACCTGTAACCCTAGCTCAAGAGGCTGAAATCTAGAGGAGCATAGTTCAAAGCCAGCCAGGACAGAAAAGTCTGCAAGATTCCATCAAAGTAACCAGTGAAATGCCAGGCTAGAGGCATGGCTTAAGTGGTACAGCACCAGCCAAGTAAGCAAGCCAAGCAAGAGGGAGGCCTTGAGTTCAGACTCTGGTACTGGCAGAGAAATGCATTGTCTTAGTTTGGGCTGTTATAAGAAAGTATCATAGTCTAGATGACTTATAAAGAACCAAAGTTTCCTCCCTCCCTCTCTCCCTCCGTCCACCTTCCCCCCTCTCTCCCTCCCTCCCTCCCTCCCTCCCTCCCTCCCTCCCTTCCTTCCTTCCTTCCTTCCTTCCTTCCTTCCTTCCTTCCTTCCTTCCTTCCTTCCTTCCTTCCCTTTTTCCTTCCTTTCCTTCCTGCAGCTTCTCCAGAGTATAGAGCTCATTTCAGCTCTACTGGCCTTGGGACAGTACTAAATCTAGCCCATGTCATTCCCAAGGTCACAGAAGCTGCTGGCCCAGGAGTTTTCCTTCCTTACCAAGTCTATCTCCCTCCAACTCTTAAGTCCTTAGTACCACCCTGGCCAGTCCTTTCTCTATGTCTCTACTTTCCTAGTCCAGCCCCTGCTTCTTCCCTACTTAAGGCCCTGTGAACTGGGGGAGATTCCTCATCCCCTTGTTGGCAAACACCAGCTCTTCAGAGACAAAACTCCACTTTCTGTCCGTATTTTTGTTTTTTCCTTTTTTTTAAAAAAAAAATCTGAGGATGTGGCGCTGTGGCTCAAGCAGTATAGCACTCGCCTTGAGATGAAGAGCACAGGGACAGTGCCCAAGCCCAGAGTTCAAGTCCCACGACCGACCAAAAATAAAAAATAAATAAATAAATAAAATAAAAATAACTTTAAAAAAAATCTGAGACTGGGACTCAAATTCAGTACTTAAAGGCCTCCAGCCCCTCTCTCTATGGCTTTTGAGTACTCCTGTGGCAACTGTCTA